ATGCAGACGGTAGGAGCCGCCACGTCCGACTCAGACCCCACAGAGTGGGAATACCACAAAGACCGTGGGTGGCTGCTTCCGCGTGAGCCTGCACCTACACGTGCTATCCACGCTCCCTCCGCCTCTAGGTTTGGAATTTGTTATGGGAGTGTAGCCCGAATAAAGCCTACCCTGTCCTGATCTAGACTCCGCGTTGCTCTAGCGCATCTGCCACGCGGGCCATCTAGGGGACACGCTTTGCATGCCGTGATAGTTTGCACATCACAGCCCCGCGCAGAACCAAGACGACAATAAAACCTGGGAAAAGAATTCGGGGGCTTCCGTGGGATTCCAACTCACGACAGCAACGGGCAGGTTTTAGTACAGCAAACACTCTAGCCGTCTGAGGGAGAGAGAAGGCTTTATTTTGAAGGGAATACCCAAAAACTTTCAGCAAAAAATGGCTTCATTCACGGAGAGCAAGGGATAAGGTAAGGAAGGGGTCGTGGTAAGAGGTCAAAGGTAAAAGGTCACAGAATAATCAAAATTAAAGGTTTGCACGATATCCACATCTGTTATGGAGACAGGTCGGCTTTCAACTTCTCCATTTCCGTTTCTTCACAGGCGAGGTAGCGTGCTAGGAATGGGAGTACAGAGTGCCCTGGATGCCTGAAAATACAACGCCGTTTTACGAAAGGAGGTAGCGAAGGTTGCTGGTTTTGTGTACCAGGTATATGCTGGATTTTGCTAGATCATAAAGAAAACTGGTCAATTTGCACTCCATGTTAAGTTGTGGCTGACGAGAAAGTACACAAAATGGCCATTCTGTCATGCATTGTAGTTGAGGTTTAGGATTGCCATAAACTGCAGATTGACAGAATAGATCACTGGAGTAAGAGCCTTATTGGTCCAAAGTTTCAAGACAAAATACCAAAACACGCTGCTCTTTAAGGTCGAAAACAGCCACCCGTCGATTTTACACTTACCTTATGGTTAAGACTGCATACAGGCGAGGAGTAAGCCTCCGACGTCAAGTGATTAGACCGAAACGCTCAGCGCCACTGCGAGAAACAGCAGGAGTTGTTTAACAGATCTGTTGTGAAGAAAACGGTATCAATTCCCAAGCTGCGGCTCGTTTGATATGACTCCGTATCAACTTCAATCACGAAGAAATACACGCAAGACGTGGCCCATTTGAGTGCGAGCTTCTCTGCTTATATCCACCTGTCCACAGCCCATCAATACCTTCCTCGGCTTCTCCTCCACCTGCAACGTTAAAACTTTTCACAATGAGTGCTATTCGAACGCTACTCAGGGGTCAGCACAGACCAGCAAACTTGCCAGTTATTGGTCACTTCACATGAGGACAAAGTGTGAAATATTGATTCGAATATGGCGGAAATAACAAAGAACGCGCCAGGTCTGCAAGCCCCCACTCAACCGTCGGTCACTCCATCGTGGCCGACCAATACCAAAATCCAGGACTACATTTAATCAGCAAGGGGCAGATACTTTTACCGCCTGCACCTTCAAACTCTTATTCCGAGTGTGTTCGAGTGTGAATCCGTGTCTCCAGGTATAGGAGGGCATCCTTTCGAAGATCGAGCACAATTTGGCCGTTCTACTATCTTGAACTTGTTTCTTTGGATGCGCAGGAAAGCAAGATAAGGACTAAATTACGGGAAAGCTTAGAACTATGCATAACGCAGATACTTCCGCAAAACCTTTTAAGATACAAAGACTTTCCTAGAAGTTGAAAAAGCTGGACAATGTGAAGGTAGGCTATCTTGGTGCTTTGATCCCCTGGCGAATGTCGTCAATACTTCAATCAAGGCCAAATGACTTATGAAAGTGCGCAGAAGGTTTCTAGATCGTCTACTCGATGTGTTCAACGTAAACATCTCCTCATCCCTGCCAAGCCGGCGGAGTAGAACCTAACAATTACGGGCTTTACTAGACACAACACGCTTAGGGCCGCAGAAAGAAGAGCGTTCACGGGAGAGGCTCTGGCGTTTCGGTAGTTGTTTCGTCTACTCATCCTCAGAGACTAAATTCTCCGGCTCGTGACCCTTGTTACATGCCGCTCTTTTTTTCGTGTCCCCATACCGACTGAGCCACTGTGCGTGGCTCGCATCTCACTGTCGCTTGCGCCTCTGCAGCCGATTTTCCCCTTAACCGACGATAGTGCTCCATCTGCCGCCGTGTTGCAAGTGTTTTTTTCGCCCTCACATGTATAAGCCGTCTGTCGTGTCGCGTCGACCCGCATTTCGTCCTGGCTTGTTTCATGCTCATACACGTTGGTTGTAGAGATAGTTGGCGGTCTCGATCGTTTCAGGCTGTGGCTGTTCCCTGATAGGAAGGTACTTAGCACCATATAGGGAGTAGGTAAATGTATGTGACGGTTTACTTAACAGTCGGTCGACATGCAAGTTTCTTTAATCTGCCTTGATGTGTGCTCGCCAGCTTGGTTCACAGCTTCAAAGGTGTCAATTTGAAGCCATGCCCCATCTCTGCAGCATAGGTTGCTACCTTCGGTTATGGATCCAAGATTTTAACAGCCAGCTGATGCTCATGCATTCACATTTGTAGCTGTCGGTCGGATTCTCCGACATATTTGTACAGCCAACAACTGCAATACAGTCGGTAGAGAACGCCTGCCCTCTCCTGCATAGGAATAGAGTCCTTTGGCCGCGTCGCTTGTTGTTTTCGGATTCTGGAGGCAGGCCTGCTGGCAACTATTCCGATAGGCAAAAGCGATCTAGCTACGATTTCGGAGACCTCTTTCATGTACGGAATCGTCCATCAAGACTTTGGCTGGCAACGCTCCTCGATACGCGTTTTTGGTGGTATTTGATTCCGTTCGTGAATGACCGTTAGCTCTGAAAAGTTCCCGGAGGAGCTGTATCTTGTCCCACTTGGCGGCTGGTGTGCTGCGGTATGTTACTACCCGTCAGTATAGCGTGCGCATACAACTTCCCTTGTGCTGCAGCGGATGACTGCTGTTTTACCTTAATATTTGGACACGTTTGTCTTTTATGGTAGACAACCGTCGCAATTTTGCTGTCTGGTTGGCGCAGACAAGAATGTCTACTTATTCTTTCATCGGGAACTGTAGATCGCGAAAAATCGAGTGCAATCACTCTTTGTAGTGATTGCTTCTACTCAGGGTAAAGAAAAAGAAAGTGTCGTCAATGTAGCTTGCTCAAAATGCAGTGTTCAGTCTCTGAAGATTGGTAGACGAAACAACTACCGGAAACTCAGACACATAACATATCTCTCCCGGTTAACGCTCTTCCTTCTTCTGACTTACCGCCTGGAACTCGGATTTTCACTACTATTACAGCGCCTAGGACCTTTGCTCATTCTTATGCGTACCCTGTGCTGGAAGAAATTGCGTAGCCTTAGGGCAACAGGTTCTTTTAGTGGCCCGGGAAAACACAGGGACAAAATTTTCTGCACTCAAATCGGCCTACAATCCGGTCGGTTCAGACCTCATAGGCCTCTACCCTTCCCGACCAGAAACGGAGCCCGAGGTAGGCTTCCTGGCACGACCCGTTCAACCTGCCAACTGCGTGGGACAAAGTTCGAGAGTGGAGCC